CAGTAACTACTCTAATTTTGTGTAGCTTAGTTCCTCAGTAACTACTCATTTGTTCCTCATTAGTTCCTCATTAGTTACTCATTCGTTCCTCATTAGTTACTCATTAGTTACTCATTAGTTCATCAGTAACTACTCTAATTTTGTGTACCGTAGTTCCTCAGTAACTACTCATTAGTTCCTCAGTAGTTCCTCAGTAACTACTTTAATTTTGTGTACCTTATTGTAGTGTTACCTCCATATTAGTACAGTGTGATAATAATATGATATATTATGTAAATTAGAATATAAGTGTATATGATGTTTTATTGTCCATATATCATTTTGTACTTGACTCTTCTTCAATGACAACATAATGATGAATAAAAACAAGAAAATCTGTAATGTTTTAAGTAAAGTTATTTGGCCTTTAGGGTACTTTTATTCTTAAGTGTTTATATTTTGTAATGAATGGCTTTATCATGTCTTGGCTGGGCAACACAGACCCCGGGAAGTTACGGCGCCCAACCAAGAGATAGACCAACCCTCTCCAGGAAGTTACTGCACCCAACCAAGAGATAGACCCGACCTCTCCAGGAAGTTACTTCACCCAGCCAAGAGATAGACCAGCCCTCTCCAGGAAGTTACTGCACCCAGCCAAGAAATAGACCAGCACATAGTGAAGTCTTTATACTTAAATAATAATAATAATAATAATAATAATAATAATAATAATAATGATAATAATAATAAAGAAGACAGAACATGTTAACTAGTGAGCTTTACAGGTGCTGGTCGGCAGATTTATTTACATTTTGACAGAGCTAGGCTAGCCATTTCCCCCTGTTTCCACTCTTTATGCTAAGCTAAGCTAACCAGTTGCCAGCTGTAGCTCCACATTTACCATACAGACAAGAGAAAGTTATCGATCTTTTAATCTTCCCCAAACGTCAAACTATTATTTTAATTATTTATTAAAGCTTTACAGAATAGTTATTAATGACAACAACATATGAAATGCCAGGTTGTAAAAACCCTTTTGACTAGTGGGACGTATACATTCAATTTATTAATACTTGGAATGCTAAATAACAATTTATAAGCATTTTTCATTTGATTACCAAAATTCACAACTGTATTACCAGACAGAAAGGATATACACTGCTGATTATTGGCCTATAGGATAAGTGATCTATTACTAAATGTATTTATGACACATTAATATGGGTTACTATGTAAATCCTTTGGAGTTCACACTGAGAAGCAACAATAATGTTGGCAACATGCCAAGATGCTGATTCAGCGATAACAAGGACAGAAATGAAAATGGTTACTGCAGATTTACACATATGATGAATTAGATTCATCAAATCAGTGTGGCAATATTTTCAAGTGTCATATTGCTAAAGGTTACTGTCTAATCCTTGAGTTACTTCACAGTTATAAGAGTTTCGGGTAATGACTGCAGCTGTTCAGGTCAGCTCGGGATTTTATGAATGGAATTTTAAGAGGAATAAAATTAAGGTGAAAGGTGAATCATAGAGCTCTCCCAGATTACATTGGTGTGGATCACCACCGTCACCGTGACACACATCTCGTGCATTTGGTGCTCTTCCTCTCATGTTCGCGGAAATTATAGTCACACCCTAAATATGTAGCCTCTTTAATGCGCACAGAGAGAGAGAGAGAGAGAGAGAGAGAGAGAGAGAGGGAGAAGAGAGAGTTACTCGAGTGTTTATTGCGCAACCAGTCAGGAGTTTTCCGCTGCACCGTGGCTCATATCTTCAAGGTGACGGATACCCTGCAGCGAGTCAGGGCGAGTCCTGCAGACTCTGTGATGCAATTAAAAAATGCGTAAAAACTATACTCTGACAAAGAGGCGACACGTGGGAGCATAATACTGTGCCAGCTTGTGGGGTTACTTACAGTCTCTCCGCAGCTCTGCTCATGAGTAGCTCGAGTGCGCTCCTAAGTTTTTGGTGCCAACAAGTTTTTTACTCCGAGCTTCCACCCGCAGCCAATCGTCATGTTGGATAAATCTGGGACGCACAGTGTCGGTGTGCCCGTCTCCAGCGCGGACCTCCAGCTCAAACTGACGGACAACAAGAGCAGCCTGGCTGCAGCAGGGATAGGGATGGAGAATGGTACTGGGAAGAAACTCATAGAGATAACTGGCCCGGCATTATCCAAGAGAAAACTTCTGGTGGGCTTAGACCTCCTCTGCCTCTTCCTGGGTAAATACATAAAATTCAGCACAAATACTTAGGATTTGTTTGTTTGTTTGTTTTTGACTTGCTGAATGCATTGCTGCGTAGTACTTTGCTGATGTAGCCTACAAAGTGGCACCTGTGCAATATCATTCACCCCAACAAAATAGTGCCATTATAACATATCTGTGAGTACATTTTAGTTCAGTGTGTGTCAAAGAGGTGCTGATACAACTCTGTGGTCCATGTTGAGGCCATGTGGTGTATTGTTTGCACTAGGGGTGTAATGGTACACAAAAACCTCGGTTCGGTACATACCTCGGGACACAAGTCACGGTTCGTTTTTTTTCGGTACAGTAATGAAAAAAATAGACAACTATTAAATATCTTTTACTTACTGGTAACCTTATTAAAACATACCACCATAGCAGTTAACTCTTTTTACACAATTTTTGAATGAAGCAAATATATATATAATCCTGCTTTTTCACATTGTTTGAATGAAAATAGAAATATAAAAGTGAAAAATAAAATCCTGCTGTTTTTTTAACACATTTTTTGAATGAAAAATATAAATATACATTTCTGTTTTAACAGTTTTACTCAATTAAAATAAAATGTATAGTGTAGCTGGTCAGCTTTAAAGCCTGCTCAGATTCAGTTTTACTAGGAACTTACTTAGCTTTCCCACTTTGTTAAAGTGCAGTAAACAAAACATGCTTATATCTAAAGTGCAGCTTAAACAATTTTACTCAACTCCAATGGCGTTGGTTATTTCTTTAGCGCGATGGTCAGGGAAACGCTCTTTCTTTTTAAACAACGATGATATCGTAGTTTGCACTAGATTGCTTTTTCTAGTCGTGCCGGTTAACGTTCAAACTCGGGTGGTGTCGCTTTAGATGCGTTAGCATGTTAGACGTTTTTCCAAGTACATACCCGACCGCTGTTCTGCAGTGTCGACACACTGCTTTTGTCTTGTCAACTTGTTTATTTCCATCTTCGTATTTTACCCTGAAACCAAAGTGTTCCCAAACGGAGGACTTAAGGTTTGCAGGTGGGTCTTCAGGTTCGTCAGGCTCACTTGCCATGTTGTCAAAATGCGAGAATGCGCTGCACAAAGTGAAAGCGGAGATTTACAGGACTCGGTCCGTCACTCAATTATGTCCGTCGGGGAACTAGATATTTTAAATGGTTCGGCTCGCAAAAACGGAATGAAAACAAAACAAAATAAAATAAAATAAAATAATATCCTGCGCCCAATAATTCGGTACAGGGTCGTACCGAACCGAAAGTCATGTACCAAACGGTTTGACACAAATACATGTACCGTTACGGCCCTAGTTTGCACTGAACTGCATTATATTGAAAGGCGTTTTTGTTATTTTCTCCATCCATTCATAAGCTATGTGAGTGGTACTAAATTGCACTATGCACTTATTTGCTGATATTTTATATTGATTTAAAGTCTCTTTTACTCATGTATAACTTCATCTGTGCACTTTTTTTAGTTGAAACAAAAAGTTGAATAATGAATTAGTCGATTGATAGAAGTAAAAGAGCAATTTAGGTCATTTTTCAGCAAAAATGTAAAGTATCTTTTGGCTTCAGCTTCTCATTTGCAAGGATTTGCTGCTCTATTTTCTTATGTTAAAATTGTTAATGTAAATCTTTAGTTGGACAAAACAAGCAATCCGGTCTGATCCATGTTGTGTAATTATTACAATTGTGATTTCTTATATTATATTAATCAAAAATGAAAGTATTCATTATGTGCATATTTGTAAAGGAAATGGACATTCATTTTTAACTTTGAAGACTACAGGTGAATTCCCTAATAAATGTATTCCTTCCTATAAGGTATCTCTGGTCTGGTGAGGGTGAACTTGAACATGATGAGTTCTGTTCTGCTTTGTTTCCATCCCTTCTTATTTAGTCAACAAGGCCAATCAGTAGCTACACTCAGGCTGATGATCAGGCATGTGGGTCTGCAGAATATGAGCTGCAGATTAACGCCAGGGTTGTAAGTAGAGGCAAAAAAGAGTTTTTTAAGTTCTTTCTCCGTCTACATGTATTTCTGGCTCTCTTTTTTCCACTTGTGCGCGCTCCCGAGCGCTCCGTGCCAGCTGGTTCGTGCATTGCCTAGGGAATTCTACAGTTTCCATGACAACCCCCAGTTCTCAGGGTAGAGCCGGGCCAGGGGGAGTTGTATTTGGTATAAATAAATAAATGCACGATCTACTGCGTGTGTGTGTGTGTGTGTGTGTGTGTGTGTGTGTGCATGTGCACATGACTGTAATTGCTGATCCCTCCCATGGTCCCTATATGTGACAGGAGGGGGTTATATAATGTCGGCTAATTGGAAAAAGCTGGACGGAGTGGTAGTCTGTTTTGTATTAACAACAGATTGGACATGTGTAGAAGGGAGGGAGTCTCTCTCTGTCTTTCTCTCCCTCTCTCTACTGAGTGTGTGCAGGCATGCAACAGAGAGAGAGAGAGAGAGAGAGAGAGAGAGAGAGAGAGAGAGAGAGAGAGAGAGAGAAGGACACCCAGAGACAAACAGAGACAGTGTGAGCCTGGTTCTGGCTCTGGTCTGCTGCGGCATTTGCTCTTTGTCTTGTAGGGAAGACTTGAACTGAAGTCACAAACAACCCCCCTTTCTCTTCTCATCAACAGAAATACACACACACACACACACACACACACACACACACACACACACGCACAATCCAAGCTGGGTCTCTGCTGAGCTCTGCCTGCTTTCCAGAGAAACAGTCAGGGTTCCCACCCTCACTTTCCTGTAAACTATTCTTTATTTGACCTTCCCTCAGTCTCCCCACTGCCATATTCCCTGTCAGTTTGTTATAGCTTTGAATTTCTGTTACATTAATTTCTCTTTTGGATTTTAGACCTTATAACTTTCATCTGTGATCAAGTAGATACTGTGTCTCTTGTGTGTGACAAGGATGAAGAGTCAAAGTACTCATATCTGCACTGGTGCTGGGTATCTAACATCAGTGCTTTTGTGGCACTGAAGTATCAAGAACTGCCACGTTAAGCTGGCATTAAAAAAACGAAACAATCCTTGTACTCTTATTTATTTGATCAGATTAAAATCACTCTTTTGTTGGTTTTGAGCTGGGGATTTCCATCAAAGTTCTTGTAAGGCTGCCTGTATTGAAACAACATTAGGAATTTAAGAAGTTTGGCTTCTTCTGTTAAAAGCATCTACATGTTATTGGCTCTGTGAGGCTGCACTTTGTCATAACAGTGCTTCAAGCTAAATGCTAGCATTACTTATAATGCCAGTGTTAACATGTTGATGTTAAACAGGTAAATGTCCATTGTCAAATATCTGTTTAGCGTGGATGTATTGAGAGACCTGGATACAGCATTGGCTGAGCATTAGCAGAGCTATATTCATTCCAATGGAATTTGCTCAGTGGTTCTTTAAGTATTTCTGCATTGTGAAATTACCTGGATGATTGGCACTTCTTCTGCAACACATTTTTTGGACATGGACATTCCACATCCAGATACAGTTTTCCAAGTACTCTGGGTGCATTAATTGTCAACGTTCTGGGAGGCCATGTCAAGTTCTGCCTGTTACATGCATTGTCTTCTTTCAAAATACACTTCTGTTTTCACAGGAAGTTTACTATTTACATACAGTCTCTTTCAAAATAAACACACTACGTCAGTACAACACTGCGAAGTGACTTTTTTTTTCTTTGTTTTTCTCCAAAAACGAACACACATGGTTGGGTTTAAGCAACAAAGACACATGGTAAGGTTTAGGAAAAAAGGACAGGGTTTGGCTTTATAATCCAAGTCAATGTTTGTTGCGTATCATGCCGACGTTAAAGGATGGCTTTTTTCGTCAGTGCCTGACGCCACAAGTCACTGCTCAAGCGCTAGTCTCACCACCAGACAACCAGAGATCTCCGCCTTCTGATAGTCTAGGGACACTTTTTTTTCCCCTCCAAAAACGAACACACATGGTTGGGTTTAGGCAACAAAGTCACACGGTTAGTTTTAGGAAAAAAGGACAGGGTTTGGCTTTATAATCTAAGTCAATGTTTGTTGTGTATCATGCCAATGTTAAAGGATGGCGTTTTCGTCAGTGTCTGATGCCACAAGTCACTGCTCAAGCGCTAGTCTCGCCACCAGGCAATCAGAGATCTCCGCCTTCTGATAGTCTAGGGACACTTTTTTTCCCCTCCAAAAACGAACACACATGGGTTTAGGCAACAAAGTCACACGGTAAGTTTTAGGAAAAAAGGACAGGGTTGTGTGCACCCCCTTTTCTCGCCCGCAAGGAGACAAACACACAGAGAGCTTGAAAATGGATGTCGAGAGATTTAACTCTGTTTTATCAAACGTGTGCTCAGTCCACAAGATTGTGGAAATGAAGGACTTACAGCGACTTTGTTTAAAACTTTTAACGGAGTCGGACTATGTTTACTAGCACAAGAGTTCAGCGAGCCACCGAAGGACCGCCCTGCAGATTTACTATTGGTTCTGCAACGTAAAGACTGACTTGTGAGTCTACTCAAGCGCTGGATTTCAGTGACTTCAGAGTGACACCATGTTGGCTTCCGCAACATTGGACCTATAGAGCAGGCGCGCTAGAGACTTTGGGCTGCTGAGCACGGCTGAGCGTAACCAAGCAGCCAACGTCCAGTTTAGTGCTCCGCTAGCTTGAATGAGTTTAAAACAATTATATCTTGCAGCCCTTTTTCTCTTTTGAAATGTTATCGGACCAAGTGGATTAAAGCTTTATAGTGGAATGAGTCATTTCACAGTGGTTGTGATGCTAACAAAAAAAAATCATCCATTGATTTATAGACATTTCTTTCCTAATGTAAGACCATGGGAAAGAATCTTTTTGGACCCAATGCCATTGTGTGACAGACCCAGGAAATTGCAGTACCACTATTTGGCCACTACAAAAACTGGCATCACAGCCCAGCACTCCTTTTGGGGGCCTGGTTGGCACTAGATACAAAGTTCAGCTGAGGCTTATGGGAAATGTAATAGTTTTGCAGGTATTTGGTCATAAACCAGTTTGTGGCAAATTAAATGTTTACCTCATGATCATGCTGGATGAAAAGTGAGGGGATCACCAAAGTCAGCAGGATTTATCCCCTGGAGACCGTGAGTATTTGATGGCAATCCATCCAATAGTTGCCAGTGGTGCCCCCAGAAATTTTTCATTGTGGTGGCCAGATGGGGTCACTGAAAATCTTGGGGTGGCACGCCAAAATCAGAAGCCATAACTGAATTTCAGGAAGTCTTGATGCTGTTGAACTAAATAGGTTAGTTTTAAACGATGTCAGCATGAGAGTTAAGGAATCACATACTGATATACTTCTTATTTTAAAGTTAATATTTCTAATTATCTGATGTGCACAGACTAATACTGGCACAGTTAACATTTTGAGTTACACAAGAGTCTTCTTTTAATGTGTTGTGCATCTGTGTTAGTAGATTTATTGTTCACCAAGTAGGCTGGTTTTTAAAAAGACAAATATACACCTTGAATTTGAAGGAGTATTACTGGGAGCAAGCCTCTTCAAGTTTAGGGGAGACTCGTAACTATAGAGCCCATTTTCATTTAGATATCTTGAGGTGAGAATTCAAGGGACCCCTTTGTTGACTCAAGTCATTCCCTCGCCAAAATTTAGCCTAAGTCGGAGCATTATTTAGCCGCCCTCCAAACAAGCTATGTCGACGTGGTCGGTACCAGTGGATGCCTTTAGGTTGTCAAGTTTCACAAGATACCACTACCTTCGCACTAGCTTAAAAGATTAGCAAAACACAGCCACATGGCAATGGCATTAGTTTTGCAGGTATTTGGTCATAAACCAAAGTTTGGGGCAAACTGAAATGTTTACCTCATGATGGTGCTTGATGAGAAGTCAGGGAATCACGTAATCCTTTGGAGACCGTGAATGATTGTTCAAAATTTGATGGCAATCCATCCAACAGTTGCTGAGATATTTCGGCTTGGACCAAATTGTTGGACCAACCATCCAACCAGCATTGCCATTCTCAGAGGCAAGCTGCTAGCATGACCAAAAAAGCATATTGTAGACAGACTTTTTTAGTTAACTTGGAGTAAAGTACTGAAAAGATTATCATGGTGGTTTTGGTACAGAGCCACAGGTGTTAGTTTGACACCAGTATCATGTTCAAGTGACACCCAGCACTTGTCTGTAAGCATGAATGGGTAACACTGAATATAACATGGTTAAGAGCTGGAAAGAGAGACATGCATATTTTAGGTTCTTCTTAAATCGCCCCCGCTCATCCTCTAGTTTTGCTCCTCTCTTCTCCTCCCACACATCATCTCCGCTTTCCCATCACAAACAGGAATGTCTATACTCCCACTGGGGATTGTTGTGATATCAAATCCTCTCCCTTCTCCTCCTTCTGTGCAGCTTCCATCCCTTTCTTTGCGTGTGAGCTGAAGGCAGTGAGTCCTTACAGAAGGGGCTTCATGTGCGGGGACCCCAGCATCACCTACCCTTATCTGCATCGGGAGGCCATACCAGATGAGTTACTCATCGCCGGTGGCATCATCATCACTGGCCTCACTGTGAGTGCTCATCACCCTGATCATCGCTATCATGGCAATCAGTACATTATTCATTTTACACAATGTGAGGGTGAGGAGAATGTAATGTGACGCTTCTCACTACATGTCCCTGTCTAGATCGCCCTCGGGGAGTGTTACCGGGTTCGTTTCAAAAGCGTCAGCTCCAAGGCCTTTGTGAGGAACCTGTATGTGTCCTGTCTGTACAAGGAGCTGGGCTGCTTCCTGTTTGGCTGCTGCGTCGGCCAGTCGCTAACCAACATGGCCAAGCTGAGTGTTGGGCGGCTGCGACCGCACTTCCTGTCTGTGTGCGGTGTCACCTATGCATCACTCAACTGCACACCTGGAACCTATGTTGCAACAGTGAACTGCCGCCAGCCTGACCACCGGTTGGAGGAGGAGGCCAGGTGTGTGTGTGTGTGTGTGTGTGTGTGTGTTAAAGCACGTGTTATATATTGTGTTTTTGTTCTGTGTTATTCTAAATACTTCTCCAATTTTTTAGGAAGTCCTTCTTCTCTGGCCACGCTTCCTTCGCGATGTACACAATGCTCTATTTAGCAGTGAGTATTTCTATCTTCTTTCTATCTATTGCTCTCTTTTTCCACACATCCCCCCCCCCCCCCCCCCCCCCCCCCCCCCCCCCCCCCCCCCCCCCCCCACACACACACACACACACACACACACATACACATACACACACACACATACACACACACTGGCAAACACAATTTACTGTCTCTCCAATTTCCAATTACCATCTCTCTATAAAATGCAGAGAGAGAATGAATGAAACAGGCAGCCATCATCAGTCCAGTTAGCAGCAGAAAGCAAGGGAATGAAAGAGGAGAGGGAGAAAGAGAAGGACTGAAAGGAGAAATGGGACAAACAGAGACAGCTTTGTTCTGCGGTGGGAGGAGTGTGACCTCGCCTCACCGCCTCACTGCTCTCCTCTATTGTACGTGTGTGTGTGTGTGTGTGCACAAGCTCCTGCATTGATATGTGTTTATGGTAGCTTGTGTGTGTGTTCCTGCAAGTGCCTGCATATGTACATGTATGCATACAGCATATTAATGTGTCTGCAACCTTGTGTGCGTGGGCAGGCTTGGCTTCCTTGTTAAAAAAGGGTTAAGGGATGAAAAACTGAGGCATATTTAATGCACCAACAAGACTGTTGATACTAGTTTTCACTATTGCTTGTGACCTTGGAATCTACAGAGTGCATCAGATTTTGTACTGTATTTGGCACATTGCATCTCATGAATCTGCAAGTCAGTTGTATCTATATTGACATTTTTAATACATTAAGCCTCTCATTCATTCTCAGATAAAAACCAAATGGTGGTTTTGTGGGTGAAGTATTCCTTGAGGGCTTCATTTTGGAGAAAGGCCCTGAAAAATCAAACTTGTGTGACATCATAAGTCTGTACAGATGGAATTTATACTGTTGGAATACACATAATGCAAGCAAAGTAAACATGTTGAGTTTAAGGGGAGGTGTGTCTCAGGAGGTAGAGTGGGTTGTCCACTAATTGGAGGATCAGTGGTTGGATTTTCAGCTCAAAGTATCCTTGGGGAAAATACTGAACCCCAAATTGCTCCCGATGGCCGCTGGTGTGTGAATGCGTGTTGATATTTAGGTGAGCAGATGGCAGCTTTGGCCACCAGTGTATGAATGGGAGATGTGACATGTAGTCTAAAAGCACTTTAAGTGGTCTGTGGACTAGAAAGGCAGTGTACAAATGAAAGTCCATCTTCCATTTACATTGGTATAAATTACATGAACAGCAATTTAAAATGAGAGTACATCAAAGGACATAAAACTGATATAAAATATAGGCCTACATAAATATGATAAAATCTACTTATAATGGGAAAAATTAGAAAAAAAAAGGCCAAACTAGTAACAAAACTAGTATAAAGTATACCGGCTGCTCGGCTGGGGAATCTATTAAATGGATAGAGTTTTCCTTTAATGTTAAAAAAAACATCTTGGCTATAATTTACAGAAACAGATAATGACCTTATTTTTCTCTGCATTAAATAACCTATCTTTTATTTTTGTCATGTAGTTTTACCTGCAGGCGCGGCTGACATGGCGTGGGGCTCGGCTGCTGAGGCCGGCAATCCAGTTCTTCCTAGTTCTGCTGGCAGTCTACACAGGTCTGACCCGCATCTCAGACTACAGGCACCACCCGTCCGACGTGCTAACAGGCTACATACAGGGAGCCCTCACTGCTTACTGGGTGGTCAGTATACCTGTTCGTTTTTGTGCATCAGTGCGTGTCCACATGTCAGCGTCTGTTGAAATCTTAAGGTTGTGTTTGTTTGTTTCTCAGGCCTTCCACATCTCGTCCATGTTTAAAAGCTCAAGTTCAGATCTGTCTCCGACCCTGGACAGCCCCTTGTCACCCCACCATACAGTCTGCTAAACCTCACCTCCACCAACCCCGCGTGTGCTAGCGTCCACCTGCTGCCTGTAGTCTAGTTTGAATATACAAGAGATTTGAAGAATGTGAGACCATTTCCTGTGAAGTCAAACCACATACCTCAGTATTGGGACAGAGTGCGAGAGAGAGGGAGTCTAGCCCGTGAGATCCTGTATGTGGTTAAAAACATATGAACTGGGAGAAGGGAAGAGGGAGGGTGCTGAAAACTATACTGGCTGCTCAGCTGGAGCAGTGTGTAAGCAGCCTGAGCACTCCACCTTTTGTCCTTGTGACTGACCTTAGCTTCACATGTGATACTTACCTGTGAGATGATACGACTGAATCCTGAACACACAGCAACCACTATGTCACCTGTAAATATATACAGATTTTGTACAACTCGAATGATACTGTAAAAGCACTTTTTTTTAAAATTTCATGTTAGTATTATTAATTACCACTTTGCAAAGATTTGGTACGTAGTATGTAATATATTTTATACAAACGTGTAATATATGTTGTACTGTAGTTTTTTTTTTTTTTACATAAACCCAGTGAATGTAATGGTGTTGAAGGAAAACACAAATAGCGAGAAAGCAACTCATTTCCCGAATGTGTTGTACCATATAGATGTGGTAGGATGTGTCCGTGCTTCTGTGTGTAGTTTATTATTGTTTAATGAGAGAATGACTATGAGAATGTCGATAGATATAATCCATGTTTTAAAAGTACGGACGCCACTAGCTGTCAGACTTTTTTTTATATAATCCTATGTATGTTGCTAGACTACTTACCACTCCAAGAGCACTCAGATCATTAAAGAAAATGTGATTTTTTTTTTTTTTAAATCATTGTCTCTTTATGGTTGGTTTGTGTGTCTTGCTAAAATACTAACGTAACACACACATTTTGAGAAAAACATTTTTAAATATTACTGCATAATGCTCTGAAAGATGATTACTGTACATCCTTAAGCTATTTGAGTTAAATGGACACTTTCTAGCAAAGCAAGAAGCTATGTTTGCCATATTAATAAAGTTAATAGGGCAACTGTTAGCAAACAGTTGCCGATATTTGTGAATGAGTAGACAAGCATTAATTTAGAGAAATGTTTCTGCCACCTGACAAATGCCGTTCTGAAATTTACTCTCTTTTAGCTCTGTTTTTGGTCTCCACCAACCACCTGAGAAAAATCAGAATAATCTACCAAAAATTGTAGATAAATAAAAGTATTATCAGCAAAACATACCTAGGTATCCAAATTTAAAGTACTAGTTAAACAGCCCAATGGTCCCTGTCAGAATTATAGAATTATAAACAATACTACTGTATTATGAATACTGATGCAAATATGTATAAGAAGCATTTCAGTATAGCTAGTTTAGGTGGGGTGAGGTTGGGTTGTTTAAAGGTACAGTGTGCAGGATTTAGTGGTCTGTTGGCAGAAGTAGTGAAATATTCATTATTCATTACTATGTTTTCAGTAGTTTATAATCACCTGAAAATAAGAATTGATGTGTTTTTGTTACCTTAGAATGAGCCGTTTATATATGCATAAGAAGCGGGTCTTCTTTCACAGAGTCTGCTGTGTTGCTCTACAGTAGCCCAGAATGGACAAATCAAACACTGGCTCTAAATAGAGCCATATGCTTTTTTGCATCAGCCTCCGTAGTTTTCCTACACGCTTGGCACGTGAGAAGTTTCAGCTTTGTTCAGCTCACCACTTGATGCCACCAAACCCTACACACTGAACTTTTAATTTGTAATGATGCTTCATATTTTAAAATCATCCTATGTTTAGTAGAAGTGGGGTAGTCATTGTTTTGTAAGTCAATATTCTTTGCACAACCAAAGTCCAAAGTCCTAAACTTGAGTTTCAAGTCCTGAAAAATGTGTATTCATTTGTTAAAAGTTCGTTGGAAGAACATTTCAACCTAAGTATTTTTCATATTGCAATTCATTTTTTGTTCACCACTGCAAAGATTGGTACACAAATTATTTTTGGTGTTCTCTTTTTTCCATCTGGTACTCAGTGATTTAACATTAGGTCATTATGCTTCCTTTCCGGCATTAACATGGCAACAACATTTACTGTCCCTGTTATATGTCGGCTGATCTCGCCCTCTGCTCCAGATCTCCTGGAGATCATTGTTTTTCCCAATTTGTTGACATTCACTGTTCTTCTTCTTTAAGTTAGCCGCTAACTGCTGCTACCTGCTTTTTAAGTCTCCTGGTGGGTCGAACGCATAATACAATACAATCGCCAGTTGTCACACTCATCCCACCCATGGTCCTGTCCTGCCAGCTGTCCCTTTTATGCAGACATTGTTTTGACACTGTTACTTCCTCCACTGCCTGCTTTAAGGTGAGACAAATGTGTCCCCCCATTTCGCGACTGTACCTGTGCGACGCAGAGGCATAAGGGCGTGAAATTCGTGCCCTGAAGAGGTGTAAAAGGGGCTCAAGTGAAGTCACAAGTCATTGGTGTTAATGTCTGAAAATCCAAGGCGAGTTGCAAGGGGTTTGTTTTGTTTTTGTCAAGTCTGAAGTCATCAAATTTGTGACTTGAGTCTAAGTCCAATCCAAATCGTGTGACTCAGGTCCACACCTCTGATGTTTAGTATAGTAACTACAAACTGTAGCTGTCAGATAAAGGTAGTGGGGCAAGAAGTGCAGTGTTTTATAGAGTTGTGGAGTGGAAATATAATGTAGCAGGAAATGGAGGTACTAACGTAAAGTACAGGTACCTTACATATAATGTATACTGTTCAACCACTGTGTGTAACAGTACTTTTATCTTTATTTCTTTCTCCTCATTATATGCATCAACAGTCTTTCTTCTCCTCCTTTTCCATCCAGATACCTTTCTCCTTATTGTGAACCCCTCCCTCTGTCTGTTCATCCACACAAAGAGAAAGACAGTAACATTTATTTCACATGTTTACTTGAACTTCAATAGCAATACAAGACAATCAGAACACTTGAGGTCGATATGTACAAGGATCTCAGGGGGTTGCAGAAAAGTTCTGAGGTTTCTTATGATCTCTGGCTCTGGAGTCAAGAGTTCTGTTGCTATGACAAACTCCATGGCAACGAGTTCCGTCACCGACAGTTTGTGGCGAGCGGAGGGAGGGGCGGAGGCGGGGGGTTTTGGTCTTGATGTGAAATGGGGTTGGTCAAGAGTTCAAAATCAGTAGGAGGGGATGTGTGTAAGAGGCCCCCCAGTTGATATTGATAAAATGCTTCACTGTGATACATTAATTATACAAGAATGATGTATATACACACACTCACACACACATTCGTCCTAACACGCACGCATGCTCATCAAGCTACACACGCACGCACGCTCGCACACATGCTCACACACACACTTTCATACAGTATGTAGCCTTGTAAAGCCACTATAAAGTCATGCACATGTTCTTTGAAAGGATTTTTTTGGCAACACACAAGTGCTTCTTTGACACACTGTTTGCTTGCTACAGGGAAGGGCAACACCCAGCCGACGAACCAATAGAATCTTAGACGATGGGCCAATAAGGATAAGCACCAATGAGACGGGAGGACACAGCAGGGTTTCGGGAAAGAGAAGATAAGGAGAGGAAGTGGAGGAGGAAGAGTTATAAATGGATCACAGTCATAGAAAAGTAACAAAACATGAAAAGGGGGAAGTCTCGTGGTGATCGGGAGATAGAATCAGGGAGGAGCCATCACTGTCATCATCATTACCTTTATCATCCATCATCATCATCATCATCATCATCATCCTCTTTATCATCATAGTCATCATCATTTCCATCAGTTTGATCATCATTATTTGTTATTATCACCAGCTTCTTCCTCCTCCTCCCTGGTTTCTATGTCCCGATCACCACCGCCCTAGTCACAGGCTCGTCACCCGCTGCATCTGTCCGTCGTCTCCCTCAGAGGTCGGCTCTGGTGTGTACGCTGCCTCTCCATTTGATGGCAGCGGTGGCGGCTGGTAGAAGGTCTGCAGGTGATTTGGCCGTGGGCCCAGCGGTGGTCGCCCCAGGCTGTAGGGCAGTTCCAGGGCGGGCCGCTGGGGCTGGCCGCTGGGGCTGACTTCTTCTGGACCTTCAGGGCTGCTGTCGGGGTACGAGAGGGTCGGAGGGGAGGTGCGGGTGTAGAAGCGAGGAGGGGAGCTGCTTCGGCTGTACACCTGGGGGGAGTGGCGGGTGTAGAGATTGTTTGGAGGCGAGTTAGTGTCTCGGGGAGCGAAGATATTTGTTGGGGGAGAGCTTCGCGGGAAGATGCTGAGAGGAGGCGAGCGTCGGTCTCCGGGGTAGAGCGGGGAGGGGTTTGAATCTCGGGCGTAGATTGGTGAGGAGTCGGGGTCAAGGTCAAGGTCAGGAGTCAAAGGCAGAGCAAAGCTGTCAGAATCCTCTCGTTCGTGGAACCGAACAGACCCTTTTTCTTTCCCTCGTTTCCTCCCATCGAGACCGCCATCTTTGCTCTCGAACAGGAAAGATTCATCCCTGTCTATATCCATCCCTCCTCTCCACACATCCAGCGCTCTATCCTTTTGTTTCTCATTGTCTCGTTCAATCCCTGCTCTCCATCCATCTCTGTCCTTTAAAAACAAGGATTCATCTTTCTCTCTGTCCATCCCGCCTCTCCATCCGTCAATCCCAAAGTCTTTCTTCTGAGTTATAAAAGTCTCTTCCTGGTCCGTCTCTGCTCCTCCCCGCCAAACCTCCATCCTTCCACCTCTCTTCTCCAGCAGATGAGATTCCTCCCTCCCTCTCTCCATTCCACCTCTCCATTCGTCCATCTCTCCATCTCTTGTCTGAGAGGCAAAAGACTCGTCCCTCCCTCTCTCAGTTCCTGCCCTCCATTCGTCCATCATTTCATCTCTTTTTAAGAGAAATGTCTCGTCCTTCTCTCTGTCCTGGCCTCTCCATGTCTCTGCGCCTGCCTCCCTCTGTTTTATCAGCAGCGGCTCTTCCAGAGCCTTATACAGGGGCTCAGACTCCTGTGGTGGAGGGGGAGGAGGAGGCGGGAGGGGCCTGTCCCGGTAGCGCTCCCTGTCTCTCTCCCTGTCCCTGTCTCTGTCTCTGTCTGTGACTGCGTTTGGCTCCACTGCGCCACGATGGCGGGACAGAGTACCAGGTGTGCGACTGAGGGTTGAGTAGGGCCTCGCCTGAACATCAGGGGGACGCGCTTGCTGCCTGTCCTGGAGCCCGCGACGACTCAGAGTGCCTTGCAATGACCTGTCCCCGTCTTTAAGCAGCTCACGGGACTCAGAGTCCCCAGAAACTCGTGAGTGTGACCAACCATCTTGCAAGCGCTGCGTTGTGGCGTGATCTTGTCCCTTTGTTGTGGAATGTGTCTCAGGGTCCTGTGTGTGGTGCCGTGTATGCGCCCAGCCTTCTTGTGCGTTGTGGCGTGCATTCGGCTGCATGGTGGCAGCCCAGCCCTCTTGGGGTGGTGGCTGTGCGTGTCGAGTCAAAGTGGCAGTGTGTGTGAGAGCCGCCCTGTCATGGTGGTGAGGCCTTGCCAGGCTTCCATAGCGTTCAGGAGGAACAGGCATGGCAACTGAGGGCCTCAGGTTGCTCTGCACCAGCTCTGAGATGATCATCTTTTCCAGTGCCGCTGCATCAGAGAGGTTACGGCGCATTCCAGCACCGCTACTCAGATCTGTGGCCCCGTGGGGGGTGAGGAGGGCCGGGGAGATGTCATCACCTCCTATCCCTCCTCCTTCCCGCAGAAGGTCAGTGCTACCCACCACTCCAGCTCGAGATCCAGGTGTGGTTCCCAGACCGTGCAGGGTGAAGGTGTTGGGGGTGTATCCTCCGTTGAGACACACACTGTC